TGCTTTGGGACCATCCCCGGCGGTGGCAATGCTCTGGGGACGTATCTGCTGCCGTGTCCCGGTCCTCATCACTGGGCTGCAAGGAGAGTCCCAGCAGCAGCCACATCCCTGGGGACAGGAGAAGGGTGCTGGGAGCCAGACCCAGCCCTGCCAGCATCCCCGGGCGTCAGCTGGCACCAGGACACAGTCCCCTCTGAGCTATGGGGACACCAGGGTGGAGGGTCCCTGCAAAGGCACCCACACTGGGACGGAGATGCTGTCCCCCACCAGCATTTGTTCTTCCTCCGGGGCCAACAAAAGCCCTCGGTGGTGGCACGGGGCTGGGCACAGGGCCAGTGACGGGGCACAGATTGGCCAGTGGCCTTGCTGATGGGCACCATCCCTATGCCGGGGCACCTGCAGGGCTGATGGGTTTGTGCCCCTGGCAGGGCCATCCCCGACGTCCTCCATCCACGTGTACACGCAGCGGGAGGTGTACGGCACCGTCGGCTCCCACGTCACCCTCTCCTGCAGCTTCTGGTCCAGTGAGTGGATCTCCGAGGACATCTCCATCACATGGCACTTCCAAGCCGAGGGCTCCCGCGACAGCATCTCTGTAAGCGCCCGCGCTGCTTCAGGGCTGGGGGTGGCCCTGCTGTGCCTGGAACCACCGTGACCCCGATGTCTGTGTGTCTGTCCCCATCGCTAGATATTCCACTATGCCAAGGGCCAACCCTACATCGATGATGTGGGCAGCTTCAAGGAGCGGATGGAGTGGGTGGGCAACCCCCACCGCAAGGATGGCTCCATCGTCATTCACAACCTGGACTACACCGACAACGGCACCTTCACCTGCGATGTCAAGAACCCCCCCGACATTGTGGGCAAGTCCTCCCAGGTCACACTCTACGTCTTCGAGAAAGGTACGGTGCCAGCGGTCCCCTCCCTGCCTCAGTGTCCCTTCACTGGCCAGGGGAGATGATGGGACACTGGTGTCCCCGCAGTGCCCACTCGCTATGGCATCGTGCTGGGCTCCATCATCGGCGCAGCTCTGCTGCTGGTGGCCGTGGTGGTGGCCCTCGTCTATCTCATCCGTTACTGCTGGCTGCGGCGGCAGGTGGCCCTGCAGCGACGGCTGAGGTGAGCCCTGACGCCCGACCGGGGCAAAACCACCCCAGAATGGGGCTGCCAAGCAGGAAAGGGGCGGTGTGGCATTTCTGAGGTGCCTTTTTGCCTTTCTACCCCAATTTTAGTGCCATGGAGAAGGGGAAACTGCAGCGATCGGCCAAGGACGCATCCAAGCGCAGCCGGCAGGTGAGTGCCAAGGGCTTGGTGGGGGTAAAATGGCCTTGAT